ATATATATATATATATATATATATATATAATAATTGTTTCAAAAAAATAAAAAAATAAAAAATATAATTAAGCCAATCATATTAACTACTTGGAGATTTATTGACAAAAAGAGTATTCAAATCACACAACAAATTGAAGTGGAAAATTATCTCGCAATGTCCTTATTTGGCAATCAGCAGTTAGCTCTTCAATATTAGTATATATTTAACATTTGATGCCCTAATTTTTATTTGCTCTCCCTTATGTCCCGTATTTGGTTTCAACCATACCTATACAATTATTTTATTGACAATTATAATCAATCTTAACAGTATTATCTTGCATTTGTAAACTTAGAATTGTCAATTTAAATACACAAATTTAACATTCAATTATCTATGCATGAATAATTTTAATATAATATTGCATTGATATACTTTAAAGTACTTACTTAAAAAAAAAAAAAAAAAACATTGGACATTATTCCAATCGCGCAATACGCGTAAAAAAGTAGTAATTTAATAAGAATAATATAGTGGCGTACATACTTTTCATCCACAACATTGAAGTCATTGATTTTTAATTTATATTCGTTATTGAGACAAATTATTATGGGAGTTTGTCAATGACAATTGCTAGAATTACTGTCAATAGAGAATGATAATAACTAATTCGAAATATATTATTACAATAGATATCGTTATAATGATATAGTCAAAATTGACTTACAAATTGTTTTAGAAGTTTTCATACATTGATAAAATTTAGAGAATGATGTGTAAACTTGTTCAATTGAGCCAATGAGATGTAGTATTGTCAATTCTTTGGAAAATGGTCATATCGTTTTAGAGTTTAGGTGTAATTGTATTTCTGATCAACAACTTTGTAATTAGGTCGCGCATGTCTAACAATGATGTAAGAACAATTTTGTCTGATAAAAAATAATAGTATAATATTTGTAAAGTAATGTACAATTGTACCCTTATAAAAATACATCCAAAAAAAAAAATTAATACCATAATGACTTAAGTCATTATAATAATGCAAAAGCATAATTGAAATATTGAGTTTTATTCTAAATAATGAAGATTAATTAAACAAGAAAAAAAATTAACCTAAATTTGTTTTTTTTTTTAAATGCAAGAAAATGATTTTCAGAGTTCATGATTTATAATCTTTGATAGTTTGATGCTCAACTTTGAATGCTTTGTATTTAGTCGAGCTAATTATTTGACAAAAGTTTATGTTAAATTTTATATAGTTTTTTTTTAATACTTCGTATATTTTAACATATTCATAGTATATGTTTAACAATGATGTCAACTCTGATTGGGATGGGGTTTGAACATATGACCTTTCTTATAGAAACTAATGAGTAAGTTGAGGATAATAAATAGTTCTTCCAAAAGGTTGAACCTCAACCCTAAGGGCCCTCCACACCCCGGCCTGACAGAGCATTAGTAAAGTTAACGAAATATTCCGTTAGTAAAGTTTATACTAACGGAATCCAGGGTTATTTAAGGGTAGGAAAATAATATAATAGAGGGTAAATAAGGAAAATCATTAAAAAAATACTAAAATTAAAATAATATGAACTATTCATTTTAAGAAACAATTCCACCAACATTTTTTTGTTCGAGTTAAGAGACTAACATTATTGACTCTTATTAAATTTGTACTAGTTTTTCTACGCGCTTTGCGCGAATGGGATAATGCCCAATGATTCTTCTTAAATAAGTATATCAATGCAATATTATATAGAAGATGTTAATGCATAGGTAAATAAATGTTGAATTTGTTTATTTAAATCAGTAATTTAAAGTATATAAATGCAAGATAATATATGAGAGATTGATTATATATAACTGCCACAAAAATAAATGGAATAATGTTTAAATTGGCCACTAAACGTAACCTGAAAATGCAATTAGATCACCGAACGAAAAAAAAATGCAATTAGACCACTGAACACTCCAAATGTATGCAATTTCACCTGATAGCAGGTTACCATCAATTTTAGCAGGTTACCTGCTTACATGGCAGCTGAGTTGGCATTTTTAATAATTTTTAATAATTTTTTAAAAAACTAAAAAAAATTAAAACAAATAAATAAAAAAATAAATTAAATTTTTATTTTTATTTTTTTATTTAAATTTTTTCAATTTTTTTAAAAAATTACTATTAAAATTTATTTAAAACTACTTAAAATGCCAACTCAGCTGTCGCGTAAGTAGGTAACCTGTTAAAATTGATGGTAACATGCTATCCGATGAAATTGCATACATTTGGAGTGTTCAGTGGCTTAATTGCACTTTTTGGAGTGCCCAGTGGCCTAATTGTATTTTCATGTTACGTTCAACGGCCAATTTGGACCTTATTCCAAAATAAATGTTTGCAACTTTGTAAATAAATACAGTTTTTGGCTTAAATTTCTCTAATTCTCGTTTGGGTAGCATTGTCATTGTCTTCATCTTCAGTACATGTTTTTTTTTTCTTTTTGTTATTGGTAGTATGTCATGTGCAATTAGGTTATTGTTGGTAGCATAGAGAGGGATTCATCATGTAATGATATTATGGTGTAAGAAGCTTTATATTTGCCTTGTTGTGTATATGACTGTAATTTTAGTTGTGCTATGAACTCTTTATCTTACAAGCACATGTTGATATTTGATAGTGGTAGTTTAATTTTCCCTACATTTTTCATGTGTTGTGAGATGTGTGTCATAGGTTATCATGTGAAAGTATTGAACAAAATATTAATATTTATTATATTTGTATAAAATACTTGATAAATAAATAAATAAACAAACAAATAAATAAATAAATAAATAAATAAATAAATATATATATATATATATATATATATATATATATATATATATATATACTTATATATATATATACACACATATATATATGTGTATACATATATATATATATATATATATATATATATATATATATATATATATATATATATATATATATATATATATAAGTATATATACATATATATACATATATATACATATATATATATACATATATATACATATATATATATATACCTATATATATATATATATATATATATATATATATATATATATATATATATACCTATATATATATATACCTATATATATATATATATATATATATATATATATATATATATATATATATATATATATAGGTATAAATATATATAGGTATATATATATACCTCTATATATATATATATATATATATATATATATATATATATATATATATATATATATATGCGATGCACGGATCAAAATTTTAGCATTAATGAACTTATGTTTGTTTATTGTAAGATAATCATTTTTTTGTATGTGGATATTACAATTCTTGTAGGATTTTAAATTTGGGATTTAAACATACTAAGTAATAAGCATTAGTGACCAGGACTATGTGGTCTAATGGTACCCGGGTTGAATTTTCATTTGGAAAATTATGAGTTCGAGCATCAGTGGAACATTGATAACTGTCTGCGTACAAAAATTGGCTGAGTAGCAATCTAACATGGGAGACTTTTATTTATAGTCAATTTGAATGACAATCTTAGATTTGATGGTGTCATAGCCATTCGAGGACCTTAGTAATTTCACCAAAATCTATTTGGCTTGATTATAGTTAGGATATATATACACATAACTAAAAGGCACCCCAATTGTTTAAAAAATAAAAAATAAGCAGCTCAATTTTATATTCAAATAGAATGAAATCCACAAATACATAAGCCCAAACCAAAACGCAAGCCCACAAACAAAACACCTAAAAACTTAAACTGGTCAGACATTCTTACAACTGGTTGTCCAAACCAAAACGCAAGCCCACAAACAAAACACCTAAAAACTTAAACTGGTCAGACATTCTTACAACTGGTCAGACATAACTCTAAACCTAGTATTGTACCCGTGCGATGCATGGACTAAAAATTATAAATATTTTTATTATGTTATGATATTAAAAATTCTTAGTCTGAATCAATTTCAAATATAAATAAATTATGTAAATACTAAAATAACAACTTTAAGACCCTTATGGTTGATATTTGATATGTAATTGTCTCCTTTGAAACTTAAATAGATGGCTTCCATGTCAATCTCGAATCAAAACTTGAGTACCCAAATTATTTCCTGATATAATTTATGTTTTAATAAGACAATCTCCTAATTTACTAATAACCAATCTCATTCATCGCATTAAACAACAGATAACTTAATAATAATAATAATAATAATAATAATAATAATAATAATATTGTTAAAAACATTGTGATCGAGCGATATAGTTGTATTGCCCCGATATCATTCCGTCTTTTTCCTCTCACTTTCTCTCTCTGATTATTTTGATGTAGACTTTGTTCCATATTGTGCATGATATTGAGCTAGACGATGATTGTACTTATTTTTAAGATCTACATTATTTTTGCACTTTTATTTTTGTTTTTTTTTTCTTTAATTTGTGCTTATTTCTATGATCTAATACTGTTTTGTATGTTTTTTTTTGTTTGTTTTTTTCTTTAAATTTCAAAATCACAATTGTCTACAAAGTATTACTTGAATTTATAGTAAATAAATATGTAACACCTTTGTTTTGTAGTGAACTTTGATTTTCAGGATGCTCCAAACTTTCACTCTATAAAAAAAAGAGAAATAATATACATTTAATAATTACAAAGTTGTATGAAAATAAATAAAAATTATAAAAAAATCACGATAACTATACAAATTTTTAGAGTAAATTTAAATAATATATATACATACGTTTCATGTAAATACCTTTTTGTGGAAAAAGGTATTTACATGAAACATATGTAAATACTATTTTTCAAAAAAAAAATCTATATATATATATAAATAATAGATAGCATATGCGTATGTTTCATGTATACAAACTACACATGAATATTATATATATATATATATATATATATATATATATATATATATATATATATATAATACATAAATACACATAAGAATCATACATTAAAAAAAAAAACAAAAAAAAAACATAAGAATGCTCTAGAAAGAATGAGATTTCACTTTTCAGCCTCATTTCAAACACTTCCTCTTCTCTTGTCTGTCTCTGTTCTCAGACTATCTCTCGTCTCTCTGCTCTTTCCCAACTACAGATCTGGAGAGTGGAAACCATAGTTGACTAAAGCGAAGCCAGAGCTCGAAAGCAAGCATGTTATTGTTCAATAGCAAGAAATCAGGTATGTGATTCTTCATCTACTACTCGGTGAATGTTTTTCTCGATCCAGGTTCTTCCTCCGACCTATGAATATCATCTGTGCTAATTACTCGAATTCTAACATTTAAATAACGTTTATCCACCTTTTCTTGTCGATTCTGTAAAGTTAAACCCTAGATCTAGTTTTTTTTTTTTTTTTTTCAAACTTCAAAAAACATGTCCACCTTCTTAAGTTTATTTCCGCACCTGCAGTTGCTATGTGAGTTAATTTTGGCAATTTATGTATTTTTTTCTTGCCATTATTCTAACTTCTTATTATTGTGTTTTTAATGTATTGCATGCAGATTTACCAATTAATAGAATTGTGCAATACTCAATTTCGCAAGAGAATTTTGAATTCTTAGGTTAGTATCTGTTAATATATTTGGTGGATTCACAGTTTTAAAGCCAGATTTACTACAAAATTCTTACAATTTGTTGCTTGAATTTTTATTTTTTTTAAAGTTAACTTTCTATTTAACATAGGGTTACCTTCCACCAAAACAGTTCTTGCTATTTATCCTTGTTTTTTATTTAGTTAAGTTTCATCACTTTATACTTTCTGTTGATTCACACTTAAATATGGAGTAATAGTGTTTCACATCTCTTTGTATGTGTATTTTATAATTTAACTAACATCTCTTTCTAGTTTTGGCACATGATGTTTGAATTCTGCTGCTATCTACAGACTACTTATGAAGTTCTCTCTAGTGAAAAGCAGAATGCTTACCTTGGTTTTTAAAGGAGTAGTGTGTATCAGCTGCACATTTTTGTCTTGATGTAATCTCTGAAGTAAACCAATTACTTGATGTATATAGGATGTAAACCAATTTCTGATGCTATCAGTTGCACATTTTTGCCCATTTATTGTCTTGATCTCTACGTTTGCATTAGGTGTCAAGGGCAGTAAGAACAGTTGGAAATTTATGCAGGGGTATTGCTTGGTATGCTATTGAAATCCTTAAAAAGGGTTTCTAGCTTTTCTGAGCATGTGTATAAGTGTATTCAAGCTAAGCTTTGCCTCCCCGAGTTTCTCCTTTTCTGCAAAACAAATAAGAAACAAATAATCAGTTCTTAAAATGTGCATAAATATCAAAAATGGAGAAAGTGAAAACTCCTTCGATGTAGATCAGTAGATGTGGGTTTCACCACAGGACCATTTATTTATAGGCTGTTTCTCAGTAAAATTTAATTTTAAAAATATGTAAAGCTTGTGTTGTACTCATCAGCAAAAATTAATTTTTTAAGAGCTGCCTAGGAAATAGCACCACTTTAAGTTGTCAGGAAAGAGGTTTCTTGCACGCAAATGCAATGACTTTTAGAATAAGGCCAAAATCGGAAAAATGGAGCAAAAGAAAAAAAAAAAAAAAAACTAAATTCTTTGGGCGGGAATTTTACCAAAATTTATTTGACTTTATTATATATATATATAAACATATTTTGTATTATAACTTGGATATTTAATTACAAGATAATGTAAAAAGAAGACAATAGATAATGTAGTGAATATAATAAATTAACAAATTTGAAGGTAAAGAATCTTTGAATTGTATAAAATAAAGATAATATAACTAATGAAATTATGTCTCTTTTTATTTTTTTTATAACGAATAATTCATTTTAAATAAAGATATTATAGACATCTGATTCTAAATTAATTAAATACATATGTATTATTTTTTGTTGTAGCTACTAATTTATTTTTTTAATTTAATAAGAGCAATAAAGTGGCCTACATACTTTTCATCCACAATATTGAAATCATTGATTTTTATTTTCACTTGTTGTTGAGACAAATTGTTTTGAGAGTTTTTCAATGACAATTACTATCAATAGAGGATGGTAATAAATAATTCAAAATATAAAGTTACAATATATATATTGTTATAATAATATAGTAAAATTAACTTATAAATTTCAAATTTTTAGAAGTTTTTATGCATTGATAAAATCATAATTAAAATATTAAGTTTTGTTCTCAATAATCAAAATAAGATTAATTAAAATGAAAAAAAAAAAACTTAACTTAAATTTATTTTTTTTTAAATGAAAGAAAATCAAATGATTTTTAAAGTTCCTAGTTTATAATCAGTGAATGCTATGTATTTAGATGAGCTAATTATTTGACCAAAGTTTATATTAAATTTTATATTATATTTTTAATACTTTATAACATATTCGTAGTATATGTTTAACAATTATGCCAACTCTAATTGGGATGTGTTTCAACCCTAAGATCTTTCTTATATAAATTAATGAGTAAGTTAAAAATAATAAATAGTTAACGGAATATTTCGTTAAGAAAGTTTATACTGCCGGAATTTAAGGTTATTTAAGGGAAGAAAATAATATAATAAAGGGTAAATAAGGAAAATCATTAAGAAATATTAAAATCAAAATAATATAAATCATTCATTTGAAGAAACAATTAGGACCGACATTTTTTTTTTATTCCAGTTAAGGGCCTAACATTATTGGCTCTTATTAAAATTGTAGATTTGTATAGATAGATATATATAATATAAAATTTAACATAAAGTTTGGTCAAATAATTAACCCGACTAAATACATAGTATTCAAAGTTTAGCATCAAGATATAAATCATGAACTTTGAAAATCATTTGATTTTCTTGCATTTAAAAAAAAAAACAAATTTAGGTTTTTTTTTTTTTTTTGTTTTGTTTAATTAATCTTCTTTTGATTATTTAGAACAAAACTTAATATTTCAATTATGTTTTTGCATTATTTGAATGATTTAGGTCATTATGGTATTAATATTTGTATATGTATTTTTATAATGGTACAATTGTACATTACTTTGCAAATATTATACTATTATTTTTTTTATAGGACAAAATTGTTCTTATATCATTGTCAGACATGTGCGACCTAACTACAAAGTTTTTAAACACAAATACAATTACACATGCATTCTAAAATGGTATGACCATTTTCCAAATAATTGACAATGTTGGCATTCCATTGGCTTCAATTGAACAAGTTTACATATTAGAATTTTATCAATGCATAAAAACTTTTAAAGAAATTTGTAAGTTAATTTATATTATATCATTATAACAATATCTATTGTAACCTTATATTTTAAATTATTTATTATTCACAGCAATTGTCATTGACAAACTCTCAAAACAATTTGTCTCAACAACAAATGTAAATTAAAAAAAAAATTAATGATTTCATTATTGTGGATGAAAAGTATGTACGCCACTTTATTAATATTATTAAATTATAAATTAAATAAATTAGTAGCTACAACAAAAAAATAATACGTATGCATTTAATTAATTTAGAATTAAATGTCTATAATGCATTTATTTAAAAAAAATTATTCATTATAAAAAATTTAAAAAGATATATAATTTCATTATTTATATTATCTTTATCTTTATATCTTTATTTTATACAATTCAAAGATTCGTTACCTTCAAATTTATTAATTTATTATATTCAGTACATTGTCCATTATTTTCTCCATACATTATCTTGTAATTAAATATCAATGTTATAATACAATATGTTATATATATTTATTTACCAAGTATTTATACAAATATAATAAATATTAATATTTTGTTCCATACTTCCACATTATAACCTACGACACACATCTCACAACACATGAAACATGTAGGGAAAAACTAACACTACCAAATATCAACAGGTGCTTTTAAGATAAAGAGTTCATAGTTAACCAAGATATCAGTCATATACACAACAAGACAAATCTAAAGCTTCCTACACCATAATCTCATTGCATGATGAATCTCTCTCTACCCTACCACTAATAACCCAATTACACATGACACACACACACACACACAAATGACATGTATTGAAGATGAAGACAATGACAATGTTACTCAAAAGATAATTAAGAAGAATTAGAGAAATTTAAACAAAAAGTAGTATTTATTTAGATCATCGCTTTTGGACTAAGTATTTAGACTAGCATTATTACAAAGTTGCAAACATTTATTTTTGTGACAATTATAATCAATCTCTCATATATTATCTAGTATTTATATACTTTAGATTACCTATTTAAATAAACAAATTCACCATTAATATACTTTGAAGTACTTATTTAAAAATAATCATGAGACTTTATCCCATTTTTACTTATTTAAAAATAATCATTGAGTTTTATCACATTCGTGCAATGCGCGTAAAATAACTAGTGATATTTAATTTGTAAGAAAGTGAAAAAGAAATTGATACATAATATTAATACTCTATATTAAATTTTTTAATTTATTTAGATTTTCTATTTATATTATTGTATTATTATTGTGATTAAAAAAAGTATGTAATAACAATAATAATAATAATAATAATAATAATAATAATAATAATAATAATAATAATAATAATAATAATAATAATAATAATAATAATAATGTAATCATTTTTACAAATTTGATATTTATATTTTAGATTTTAGCTATATTTTTACAAATTTGATATTTATATTTTGATCATGGTATATATATGTGTGTGTGAGAGAGAGATACAAAATAATCGTATAATATTCGTAAATTAATGTAAAATTGTACCATTATATATATATATATATATATATATATATATATATATATATATATATATATATATATATATTATTGATTTAAATAAAAATAAATTCAACATTCAATTATTATTATATATATATATATATATATATATATATATATATATATATATATATATATATATATATATATATATATATATATATATATTATTGATTTAAATAAAAATAAATTCAACATTCAATTATCCCTCTATGTATGAAAATCTCTTATATAATTTCGCATTTGATTATACTTTAAAGTACATATTTAAAAATGATTATAAGACATTATTTAATTCGCGTAATACGCTTAAAAAATTACTAATGATAATTGATACTGTTTATACTGAGTGGTATATTTATACGGTCGTAAGCAAGGCTCGGATCTCTTACGCGGGTCGGGAAGGTCCGGTTTTGCCTCGTCCCAAAGTCCCCTCCAAGGTGCATTTAATGCGCTATTTATAGGGTCAGAAAGGTGGGTCACGCCGGGCCTCCGGCATGTTAGACACGTGGTGGGCATGCACCGGGTGTTACCTGTGGCCGTGTCGACGTCTGCCACGCGGCGCTAGAGGTCTGACTCCTCCTCCCCTCTGGCCGAGAGTCGTCCGAGGGCCTCCGGTCGGGATCGCCCAGCAAACCGGTCACTTCCCGGCGGGTTCTTCGAGGTGTCCTGCTGCCCGGGGGTCGACCGTGTCTACTGACCCTTACCGGTCGGGAAGGGTAGGGGCTCACTTCCAAGGGTCGGGTAGTGACCCGGTCTCGATACGGTCGGGCACCGGGCGTACATCCTTAGGGTCGAACATATATCCTTATCACATAGCCCCCCTGGCTCGGGGCCAGACGACGCCTTGCTGGAGGAGGGGCTCGAGCCAAGGCCATGGGGGAGTGTGTCCGGGGTTGAACTCTCATGGATCGCGGATCACCTGCACCCGCATCACGGGCCGTTCTTGGACAAGGCGAGGCACGCGTCAGATGCGCCGTCCCTCGCGATACGAGCCCAAAAAGCGGGACGCGAGGCGTTTCTGCGTCAGCCTCTCGCCCCTATAAATAGTGGCTTGGCTGGGGTCCCACTACGCTTTCCTTATTTCTTGCCAACAACCGGATGTTCCCGACCGGCCATCCCAAATTTCAACGCAGCTTCTAAGTCTTCTCAACCGGTAAGTGAGTTCTTCTTCTCTTTCCCTTCTCTCCTTATCTTTATGATCCTAGAATCGCTTAGGCCCTTAGAGATAGGTCGGTCGTTGACTCGGGCGTCTTTTAAGTGGGGCATCG